CAACATTTTAGAATAACCTCTGATATCTTGGTTGGCAGACCCTAAATCTAGTATAATTACTTTAATACAAACCTGGACAGGATCATGAGTTGGGTGCTGAAAAGAGGCATCTGGCTGAGGCTCAAATGAGGATGGTCCAACAGGAGGGGCTTCAAAGGGAGGAGGAACAGGAGGAAAGCCAGGATATGGTGCAGGTCCCCTAGGGGGTGGGTGTGGGTTGTTGTGTGGTCCACGATTGCCATAACCAGATACTAAATAACCATAAGCAATGGAATTAATACTCGTCAATTATTTGAAATGAACAGGGTTCAGCAAAATCATGTGATTTGTAAGTGGCAAGTAGGTTGTTGGTTGATCAGTCTGACATTGTCGCAGTAATTGGCGCAAGCTGTTGTGGTGTCCCTGCCGGTTGGCGAAGCTAAATAAATCATGAATCGTATCAAGGCCACTAAAAAAAAAGACCTGGCTTATTTCTGTATGAATGGAAGCAAGATACCAAGTGCCTTGTGCTATTCTACACCAGGCACTCAAACCTTCAGGGTCACTTTGGACAGAATCAATTTTGTCTTCTCTCAGACCTGATCTGTATGCTGAAGGCAGCTTCTAATCTGAGAGATCAACATTTGAATTTGATACTCAGCTTTTGCAGAATGTGTGTTTACTCAACTTCACAATACTTAGTACCTACCTGGGGGTGGAGGGGGTCCATAACGTGGAGGGCCAGAAGGTGGGGCACCATGGTGCATTGTTGGAGGTGGATGCTGTAAAGAGAATGGAAAGGTTACTCAGTTCAACATCAATGTTACATGGAAAGCTTGCTACAACACATAATAAAATAAAAACATATGCAAAAGGAACTCAGATGCTCAAACACCAATATGGAAAGTTTGGAGAAACTGCCTGCATTTTATTGCCAGCTGAACAGCAGCAATACCTTAGCCCTACGCGAGTACCAGACAGCGGTACATTAGTTATAGGCATGCGTAGCGTCAGGCTCCGCACGGTTCTACTTGATATCTGTAAGCCCGCTCGTTCTGTATTTATTTTACCAGTTCAATAGTCCCTTTTTACAGTTGTGGGCTTGGTGGCCAAGCCTTTGAACAGGAGTGAGGCTATGGGTGACCCTGTTGTGATAGAGACCTGTATCTAGTTAGCATGATAAAGTAATTTGCATTTGAAAAGCAACAACATCTCTATCATAACAAGGTCACTCTAAGCCTCACTCCTGTTCAAAGGCTTGGCCACCAAGCCCACATCTGTAAAAAGGACTATTAAAGTCTTAGTTATGTTACGAATTTATCTCTTTCCTCATAACTGGCGTTATACACCCAAAAATCAGTAGACAAGTTCTCCTTACTGTACTTCATATATTTCCTGTAGTACTTTCAAGAAGAATTTGTCTACAAATCAAAAGCCTCTTTTATCTTCTGACCTAAATGTTTGATTCAGGGGTGAGACTTTTGAGTGCTTATTGTGCTTAGTACTAAAGGGATTGTGAAATGTTACCCTGCTGCTTGAAATCAATTATTTTGAGGCCAACTCCAGGACATACCTGCATTGGTGGAACATGATAAGGATTGCTGTATGGGTATCCTGATGCTGGGGGAGGCTGGGCAGGGTGTGGGTAGCCATTACCAGGAGGTTGTGGTGGTTGTGGATATCCATATGGTGCAGGCTGTGCACAAAATAACGCATCAAACTGTAACTGATCAGTTCATGTGAGAGACATACAACAAGTAATTTGGATATATCAACAAAGTTGAAATGGTAAATTGGCCACCGTAATGATTACAAAAGCTGACGTTTCGAGCGTTAGCCCTTCGTCGAAGCATTCATCTTAACCAATTAGAACTGAGAAATTGACCAATCAGAATGTCTGGTTTGTTTCTTTCTTTGCACTGAAATAACCCTCTTCTGCACTGAATTAACTCTCTTCTGCACTGAATTAACTGACGACTGCATTCATCTTAACCAATTAGAACTGAGAAATTTTTTCATGTATATTATTAGGTTCAATATAACGAAAGGGCTCCTCTTTCCAATGCCGTGAAGTACATAGCTCAGAAAAAAAAGTTATCGCCCAATTCATCAAGCTTACGATATGTGAAAGTTGCCGTTAGTAGATGTTGCTATAGTTATTTTAGTTCTTGACTTGGTAACAAAACATATTTCGTATTTCAAGCACCTTTGAAAGAGGTAGTGTGTAGTGAACATAACAATATTCGATCGCTTTTCACTGACATATAAGTCACGACCATTGTTTCCTTTATAAACAGATCAATGAGTCAAGAGACTATTTCTTCAGGGTGGAGAGCAATCTTTCACCTCATTAAGCTTAGAAATTCACGATATCAAATACACTCAATTCTCAACTAACGGACACTCTCGTAAGAGGACAGTTCTATAAGAGGGGGGGAGGAGATGAGTGGTTCAAAAGACTCAATAGCAGTAAAATTCCAAATCTTTCGAAGACGGAAAAAATTATATAACAACAAATAATTTCCTCAGAGCCATACTGTTTGAAGAAGGAACTTATAAACTGCTTCGTTTTCGCAAGAGATACGTGTAAGTCCCCTTCGCATCAGATGTTTGCTGGACTTGCTGGTCTCGTCACGATTTTTGTAATTACAATTTGGTTGAATATACTCAGGGTTTCGATAATGTAAGGCGTTGTCAACAAAACCGGGAATACAATACATAGATTTATAAAAGAAGCTAATTTGAAGCGACAGAGGGTTAAGTTTGTTCAAGTGAAAAGGGCCGATTTCGTCGAGCCTTCCATTCTGTTATTTGTAGCGGTCATTTTTCACCCGATTGTTATGAGAAAAGCAACATGGTTAAAATGGGCCGGGAAATGCAAAAAATACTTCTTCCTGGTGCTGTACCGACGATTCAAGCCCTACCAGAAACAAATTCTTCTGAAGTAAAAAAGCGACCCATGCAGTCGGCAGACAGCGAAGATCCTGAGGCGGCCGACCTAACTAAGAAACGACAGAGGAGAAGTAGAGCTCTTCAAAAGTTAGAAGTTAACAGGTTAAGTACAGAACTGATTTACGTGGAAACCTCAAGATTTTAGGTTCCCTAAAAACACCTTTCTTTCTCAGCTATTAAAAGAGATCCTGTCTTTAGTTTTTTTTTTTTAAATTTTATTTTAAGTCTGCTTACTTTGGATTTTGTTATGGGACACCTCACAGTAAAAAAGGTTCAGAGGACCCACTAAGTGAAAGCAAGTTCATCGTATATTTTCCTGTTTGATGCAACTCTTTGAGTTCTGCCCTCTATGCACCGAGCCCTCTACAGCTGAGGTATCTACTGTGGTAGACACTCTAATCCATGTCACCCAAAAAATAATGTCTAAGCTGCAGTTATGCGCGCGTGTGGAGCAGCCAACCGTACATAAAAAAAAGATACCAGCTGGAAATCTGTTGCTATTCGCTGCTATTCTTTACTCTGGTAGTATGATCTCGCAAACCCTAAGAATGCTGAAAATTATGAGGGTACAGTGTTTTAGCCGTCAGACATACCATAAACATCAGAGGAACTACCTTACACCTGTTGTCATAAAAAAAACGTGGAAGGAAGAGCAGGAGAAATTAGTAGAAAGACCGTCCAATTTAGAAGGTGGTGTTGTTCTTTCTGGGGATGGTAGATCTGACGGCCCAGGTCACAGTGCTAAGTATGGGGCATTTAAAGTCATTGAACAAAGGATCAACAAAGCGTCGGATGTTCAGCTCATTCAAGTAAGTCATTTAAAGCCATTAGCTTTGCTATTTTATCAGTAAACTGTTTAATATTTAAGACTAAAACCAGTCTAACTTTTTAAAAGTGCAATGAGGTACTAAACAGCTCCTGGTGTGAGTATGAGGGCCTTCTTCGTATGGAGACATTTCTGACTGAGAACAACCTTGACCTGAGTGTTATCATAACTGACAGAAATCGCCAAAATTCAGCCTACATAAGAAGGAATATGGCACCCAAAGGAACCAGGCATTATTAAGACATCTGGCACATTGCTGAAGGCAAGTTAAATGACATTAGTCTGTGAACCGTTCATAATATAATTACTGGCATAAATGTATATCACTGAAGAAAAATTATATTATTTGCACCTTTTGGCAGTTTTGAGTTAACATTCCTCATGGTGGACTATCTGTTTTCTTTGATAAAAGGAATTGGTAAAAAAGTTGATGCACTTGCAAAGCAGAAAGATTGCGAAAATGCTGGACTGTGGAGGAAGTCTATCATAAATCATCTATACTGGATGGCTGCAACTGCCCCAGAAGGGGATGAAGATATGCTAGAGGCTATGCGGAAGTCGGTTATTAACCACATTCAAGATATTCGTGATGGGCATAGCGAATTGTATCGAAAATGTGCCCATGGTGATCTAGATGATGATGATCGAGACAAGGAGTGGCTTCAGCCATGTAAGGTTACATGTCAACAAATTTACAAAACTGATGCTTTTGTGAGTTTTTCATGATGGCAATTGTTGTTTAGCTTTGTATTTGTTTTTCAGCATCGAAGGTTTGTGAGAAATCTAAATACTGTG